GGTAGCCCAATTTCGCAGGCCGACCATAGATATCGGGTGTGCGCCGGCAGGGGGTCGAACCCCGGACCATGTGCATGGTTGGCGGGAGTCCTAACCACTGTGCCACCGACGCACATTCAATTGATCAAACAACTTCCTATTGTCGATGACACATTTGTAGTATGCAACAACGAAAGTCATGCCTCCTACCTACTCAGCCTATTCAACAAAGCACATACAAATATTGTATTTACCATGGAAAATGAAAAAGATGGAAAGTTCCATTTCCTTGACATCGCCATGCAACGCCTAGAAGATGGTAATCTCCAGAGGTCAATTTACCGAAAGCCTACATGGAATGGACAATACTTACATTTTAATAGTTTTTGTCCAAATAGCTATAAACGAGCACTAGTCAAGACTCTGTACTATAGAGCAAGGAGAATATGCTCTACAGAGAAGCTAGAGGAAGAATTTATGATTCTCGAAAAGGTGCTGAAAAACAACGGTTATCCTCAAAGATTCATTAACAAATATGGAAGATGTGAAGGCTCAAATACCAAACAAATCACAGTTGAAAAAGCCTGTCTTCATTCAACTAGATTTTAAAGGTGAAAACATTGCAGAAATGGTCAACAGAAGATTGAGAACGTCACTAACCAGAGCCTATCCTGCAGCTAAGTTGGTTCCCGTTCATCGAACAACATGCTCTTTGGTGCAGTCAAAAGTCGATAGATACCCTTCTCATGTTAACTCCAACTGTGTATACAAATTTACGTGTATCTGCGGGAGCAGTTACATTGGAAGAACAGAAAGAAGGGCACACCTCCGATTTTCTGAACATGTGCCGAAAAGCCTACATCTCAAGGGAACAAACTCTTATAGTAGCGCTATTACTAGACATCTTCTCGACACGGGTCATGAGGTAGAAATCGAGAAATCCTTTAAAATTATCAATAGTAATAATAATAATGATAATAATGGCTTTATTCCAAACAGTATTTTGGTACAGGTATGGAATTTTCAGCGTTCATTACAATATTGCATCTAATTACCTCATAAATTTTATAAGGATTTAAAAATATAAAGCAACAACAACAGAAAGAGAAATAAAAGAAATAAAAAAACAGCAATGCATTCACATATTTAAACAATGGTCCACAGGATATGATATATAAGATTGGTCTGTAAATAGAATATATGAGCAACAATATAATAGTAACAAAGAAAGGAGAACAAAAGCTAATGGGAACTATTTGGTAGAGTGCCGCAGTTAGTTGATCGTGTCGTGCCTAACAGTTTTCTCATCACATAACAGCTGTGCCAGATAAGGTATTGTGGAGTTTTTATACTTGGTAGTCCTGGCATATAGCTTCCTATAGTTGCTTCTAGTTCTACCAGATGAAATAGACAAAGGAGTTCCATTCTCCTCAAGTTTGCCGAAGCAATTTCTATCAAACGCTTGAAACCAGATTTATGTGTTCAGAAAGAAGCAGTTATTAATCTTTCCTTGCCCTGCTAACTGAATGTCTTTATTCTCTCATCTGATTACGTAATCTTTGTCTTTAACCTCACCCCCTTTTATAATCTGTAATTTTGCTTGTCTCTTGATACCATTATGCAGTGGGTGACAAGGAAATTGTAAGATTCTAGTGTGAAATAGATAATTGGTAAAGTTTGGCATTGAAAAAAGTAAAAGTGGAATTTGGACATTGTGGTAGATCATAGTTCCACATAACTCAAGTTTATCTGATATATATATATATATACATATATATACATATATATATATATATATATATATATATATATATATATATATTCAGGACTGTAGTTGTGTCATTCGCATTACTGAAGTTGGGGGTTATTTCGATAAACAGAGATTCAGTGATTCACATTGCTCTCCACCTAACTGTATTACTGTTAATACTCTAAAGCTGTCTCATACTGTCCCATGATCGTATGCAAGTGTATGTATAATGATGGTTAACGTTCTCCTTGATCTTAGTTTGGTCCAGTCTTTTAGATCTGGTTGAATTCCTATACTCTAATTCCGTTCGAGCTACAGGTTTGACCTGATGGGTATTACTCAACATTTGGTAAATTAAACTGTCCAATTGGGTTAAAGGAGTCCTTGCACTGAGCGAACTCGGACTAAATGCCATTTCAATCCCATCTTTATTAAGAAAACTACGTAAATATTTTAATTATCTGACTCACTAGCCGGACTATTGATCCAACTACACAGATATTCAAACGAAAGTCACCTTTAATGATATTGGGTGGGATGATTCAAAGCCGAAGTACCTATCAAAATGTGATGGCTTCCGCAGATGCTAGTATATAAACTTTGATGTGGTTTTCACTTTATTTTACAATCTACTGACTGGTTTCAGCGTAGTACTTTGCATCGATGTGCAGCAGTTCGAGTTGCCACACGTCACTTAGCACACAAAGCCAGAGAAGAAAGTAAAAATAAACGTAAAATAGAGACAGTAAACAGAGATACGAAGCAAAAAGAATAGTAATATCGACGGACAATATAGTTTTATTGCATATTATAAGTCACAATGAGTGGATGCATCTGTACCCTTGCAATCTAGCCTACCTAATTCACTCTCTCTATTTTCTAATTGGATTCTATCTACTACTGAGTTTACATGTGTGAAGAAATTACGAAGGTGTTCATGATTTAACACAGCAAATGTATATCCCATATATCTCTACCACACTCTAAGAGTAGTGTTAACTGCTCTAAAAGCCTCAAGTCGGTTAGTGTGACCCATTGACCTAAACAGTTAACTTCAAGGGAAAGGGTCCCAGGTTTGGATGCCACTCCATTACATCCTGGGTAAATGGCTAGCGTCAGCATTACATCATCAACACCGACATTACATATGGTCAAAAACGTATTCTGAAGACATGGGCTTTAACAGTTGTCATTCCAAATAGATCAGAAACGTCAGACGATATCAGAAGAGTACTCAATAAGCACAACAGTTTTTCTCAAAACATAGGACACACTACAAAGCAACCTTGTCCATGTAACAAATTAAATCCCTAAGGATTCTCAATCTAATAGTTCTACAAAAAATGCTTGGGATGTGATGCGATATACATCGGGCAAACTTCACGATAAATCAAAATTAGAAGAAATGAACACTGTGGCGCATCTATTTGGCTAACAAGAAATCCAGGTGAACTAGAAAAGCTCGAAAAATCATCAGCCACAGGTCTACACGCTATAGAATCAGGCCACAAAATTGATTTTGACAATATTGAAATAAAAAGATTTGAGAAATCACAAAAAACGTCTAATACCAGAAGCACTTCATATCAAATGGAATCCAAATTGTCTGAATAGGAATGATGATCTAAAACAGAATTTGACCTTGTTACAGCGTCCCCCTCCCCCATGAAATGAAAAAGCTAACACGACTATGATAAGGAGTTTTACTAGCTAAGCAGATGCTGCTTTTATAATTTTATACGCTTATCAAATCCACCAGTCTACACTTGGCTTTGTTATCTTTACCAGTTGGCCGACTTGACAACGTAAAAATTACCCCATGCTAATAAACAGTGATTAAGTTGTTATATTTAAGCTGAGGTTTTGCAAATTCTGGTTTAATAATACTTTGATAAAGCTATTAGCATTAAATAGCAAAACGTCAGTAAAAACAATATCGTTTTGTTTTTCATTCATTGGGAAATCCAAAATTTTTTATAATGATGAGTAGAGGGATTAAGACCACGAAAGAAAGAGGATTCAACAAGTCCTTTCTGTAAACAAAGCACCTGCTAATCCATTCTGGTGGTTAAACCTTAAGTGATAGAGAATGGATGGACACATTGATTTTAGAAGGGTACTTTTCATCGTATAGATAATTTTGAAGAACTTTGTTGAGATGGAATAGTCAGTATGGTGTTCAATATTAACGTTCCTTACAGGCCCACTTCTGACTATTCGTAAGTAAACAGAGTAGCACACTTTCACTCTTATAGACAGAACCCGTACTGCATAACCGATATGCCTAGCTCCACAGGAGCAGGTCAAATGTTAGACACACATAGAGTCGATTAAAAACCGAAGGTATGAACCTGCAAAACATATACTTAGTTGTATTTACACATTTTAAAATACTTATTCTATGACTCCTTTAAATAGGCCCATTTTTTAAGCTTTGCCTTTTATTGTCATAGGACTAGTCATTTGGAAGTGGCCGTTTTATTATTATAGGATATTTCTATTTCTTCTATAGTGAAAAACACATTTCAGTCATGAGAGTTATTGTACAATGTGTGCAGTGTAATAACACGTAAACACGCATGCAGCAGTTCTTAATTATCACCGTAACCTGAGTTGTAAACACTAGCTTTGGTTTTTTGTTTTACTAAGGAGGTCTGATGTGTGCGGTGTGACTCATCAGGTTTAGTACGAATTTGTTTGTAGGAGATTCACTGGTAAGACTAGAGTTTAAAGAACAGTGGGAGCGCGAAAATATTTGTATCAAAATTTGAGAATTAGAAATTCACGTAATCTCAATAAAAATTCATAAGAGATTAACTCAACACCTAACAAAGTATTCATTTATTTTTTAAATTTTGATTATAGCTTGGAACCACACAGTATTTTTGGTACAAGTATGGAATTTTCAGCATATGATATCGGTAGCCCAAATTTTGCAGGCTGACCATAGATATCAGTTGTGCGTCGGCAGGGGATCGAACCCCGGACCATGTGCATAGTCGGCGAGAGTCCTAACCGCTGTGCCACCAGATTACTCTGCCTCACAGCACAGCTAGTAAGCTGAGTGGTCAAATTACATACTTAACCGAGACTCCAGTTAATACTACAAACTTAACAACTGCAGTTATAAACTACTACTAAATCCCAGTTGCAGATATTAAGCAGGTGGTATCAATCAAGTATTCTTTGTGGAATACAAGTTTCACATACTTTTATGCGCATAAAATAGAGAAATACATATGAAGGGATAATACAAGTATATCACGCTTACTTTTGTCTGTACATCTTCCTATGGATGCTTGACGACCTTCTTCGAACACTTTTTGAAACTCTTCTGCAACTAAATATTAAAAATGGAAAATAAAATGAGCTGAAAATCTGTGACTTCTATAACATAAAATATCTTTGTCAACCCTAAAACTTCTATTGAATGGATATTAACAGAACTATTATGCGCAACCCAAATCAGCCAGATAATGAATGAAAAGAAACATGCATCACGTGAGCTTTTATCGTTTGAATACTATAGTCAAATGGAATGCATACGATACAATCGTACAAATGTTATAGGAAAGTATAGGTGAACCGTGAGTACATTCGGAAAACTAATTGAATAACTCAATGTACACCCTTCAATGTAGTATGATCTGAATAAATACATTAAGATATTTATATTTCAGATAGTGAAGGCAATTACAATATTTCCTTCCTTGTCATGACATTTAGATGAATAACATCTTGAACTTCTGCAAGGAACTTAGTGTCTATAAAAGTCTCACAGTTACATTTAGTGACAAGTGATTGTTGAAACGTGTAAGAGATGGTACAACAAATGCCTACAAGATTTATCCTAAATTTTTGGGGGATTTTTAAAGGGGGAGGGCTTCTACTTAGTGACAATATTTCATTGTGATACATTAAATCGAGAAAAGTATTTGGTGTTTTAGTGCTGTCCTTAATCATCCATCCAAAATAACTTGATGCAACTGTCTTCATTAGATTTATAACTGTAAGCTGCATGGCCTTCAGTTGGACTGAGAATTTATAACTGCGTGATAAAGTCTTAATGAGTACAGCTGTGTAGAATTCACGTGAAACAAACCGCAATTACTTCCAAATAAATTAAAATTTGACTAGTAACTAGTTGCCAGAAAAAACAAAAACAGAAAAACACTGAGGTGTGGTTCCGGATGATTTAAATTTTGATTATCCACTAGAAAAAAAATACTCAGTGAGTAGTGTGGTAAACTGAAATTCACTAAATATCAAAAACTATTTTAAGTGTTGGAGGTATTTTAATAACTCACATTTTTCACTAGCAAACCTAACTCCCAATGACTCGGGTTTCACTACCTCATCTGCATAGTCAGCCAGTGTGGTCCAAACAAAAGCCTTGGTACTACGACAATTCGGGCGCAGTTGCATACTATCTAATATAAAGTGATTAGCACACACCTAATCCTTTATGTAAAGTAACGAAATAATAAACCTTGAAAGTACGATCACGACGCATAAGAAGGCGATAGCACCCGCTAGTCTTGTGACGGAGAATTTTCAGAATTCCGACTCCACGTTCCTTCCACTCTGGTGGATCTTCAACGGTATCAAAACGAAATAGCTGCGCCCTCCTAAAAAATGTTAGAGATGCTCTTGTCTTATATACTGTTGAAATAGACAGTCCTCATTCTCTTCAGCATTAGAAATGGTTACGGGTGGGAGAGTAACCACTGGTTCGAAGAATAATTCCTGCTCTTCGTGCTATGCAGTCTGATAAAAAGTGACCAAACCCTCACCTCTGACTCGCTTGGCATGTTCTGTGTGACTCAAATTGGACCAACCTGTGCGCGACCTCTAGAGCTACTGAAGGTCAATCAATCATCCTAGATTGAGTAGTAACAAACAATTTGGTCTGCCATAAATACGTTCAAAAATATAACACGTAAAAAACTCTAGTGGCACTCAGTAGAATTACCATAAAGTCTGCTTTGTCTTTATCTTTTGGAGAATAATATATTTGTACGAGGTATTATGGTGAAAATAAACAACTGACAATCAACGAACTCACCAGTAACATCGGATTGTTCAGTCAAATCAAAGTAGCAAAAAATCAGGCAAATGTTGCTGTATTTTCACTTGTCGGCTTAAAAGCACTGGTGCATTCATTCTCTTTGAGATTTATTTCGTAACCTAGCTACACATATGATAAGCTGGAGTATATCTATGAAGTGTTAATTTGGGAATCTTACGTCACTGACTTCAGTTGTATGACAACGCTGCATGCCAAGTAATCCACAACGGAAAGCTCACAGAATCCTTCGAAGTGAAGACAGGAGTAAGACAGGGTTGCCTACTATCGCCAATGATTTTCCTGATTGCAATAGACTGGATAATGCGACAAACAGCGGGCAATGAGGAAACAGGCATAAAATGGACTCACACAAAGAACTTGGAGGATCTGGACTTCGCCGATGATATATGCCTGATTTCCCACAAACTGGAAGATATGCAAGTGAAAAGTAACAAGTTGGCAGAAGAAGCATCAAAGATAGGACTCCAGGTGAACATAGAAAAAACAGAGGTGATGAAGATCCCTGGCCAACACCAACAACAACAACAGACAGCAATCAGCATAAATGGAAAAAACCTGAAAGAAACTACCTCCTTTACCTACTTGGGAAGCATTGTTTCAACTACAGGCGGAACTGACGAGGATATCAAAGCAAGGATCGGGAAAGCAAGGCAAGCTTTCATTACTCTGAAGTCTGTGTGGAGGACAACATCATTCAGCGTCAAAAATAAGATCGGGATTTTCAACTCCAATGTGAAGTCAGTACTACTATACGGATCAGAGACTTGGCGTGTCACAAAGAGCACCTCAAACAAGCTACAGACCTTCATTAACAGATGTCTTCGCTCAATACTCAAGATCAGATGGCCGGAAAGGATCAGCAACAAAGATCTCTGGGAGCGAACCAACCAGGAACCCATTGTGAAACAAATAGGCAGGAAAAAATGGAGATGGATTGGCCACACTCTGAGGAAACCAGCAAGTGACATCACTAGACAAGCCCTCGAGTGGAACCCGAAAGGGAAGCGGCGAGTTGGTCGTCCAAGGGTGACCTGGAGGAGATCATGTGAAGAGGAGATGAAAGCATGTGGGCAGACCTGGAGTCAGGTGAAAACTCTAGCAGAGAATCGAACGCAATGGAGACGCATGGCTGAAGCCCTATGTTCCTCTAGGAACTAAAGGAAATAATAATAATAATACGTCACTGACTTAACTAAAAGCCTACAGCTACTGAACACATCACATGACCATTTGAGCTTCTCCATTGCCTTTTCACCTAGTGCCAAATTATATTTCAAAAAATTCTTAGTCAACTTTTGCTATCTTTTGTCACTATCTGCGGGAGAATATGACAATCTTTTCCTATAGTCTCAAGTTCCTTCCTATCTCAGTCACTTATTCTTATGTACTCTTCTGTGTCGGCTTTTTTCACTTCCTATGAGGGGAGAGGTTATACACTGGAGATGTATATGAGGCCCAAATAGCAGAAATATCAGACCATTTGAAATCCAGTCACTCCTGATTTTATAAAACAAATCCTCAATTTTCAGTTTACTTTGGAGACCGAAATAACTCAGACAACAAAGCGTCATCTGCTTTAGGCCATACATGGTAATCAAGAAGCCAAGTTATTATCAACATGCACTACTGATTGATTGAGATGAGTGGGTTTGTGCCAGAATAAATTGATCGGAACACCGGACGACATTTTCGATCGTCTGGGGTGAAAATTATCAGAGATGTATCAGGTTCAGCTGAGCTTGGAGGGTCGAATCATTTTGAAAGAATCGATTTCGGACTGGATACCCGAGCGGACTGATCTAGCTCTATAAGTTGAACCAATCCGCGCACACCACTGATGATTTTGGTCCCCAAAGAGCGAAACGGAAGTCCGGTGTTCCAGCAAATTAGTTCTGACTGTCAGGGGCTACCAGTTGACAAGAAGTACATACGACTACTCATCGCAATAAACCAGTAGTTTATAGGGCTACACATCAAATATTAATGTGGGTATTTAAGTGCGTTCAGGTACATATGATGCAGACCATGGAACATGAACGCGAAGACCCACCAGTTAAGTTATTTTTGTCTCTTGTTTTCTAGGGTTCGTGTCTTGGAGAGTGAAACATGTACTCAGCACGTGCAAGCTCCGAAAACAACGAACAGCTGACTTCGAAGTGTGGAAATAAACTGAATATCATTCTGGAATCTTTTTCTTCAGTTCACGTACTTGGATATTGGAAGATATATCCTTTTAACAGATAATCTCAGTGAATTACAAATTCTCCAGGTTCGAATATTCTAAATCTCATTTTTGACTGTTGATAAAAGCTGTGTATTTGAACATTTTACTCCTTCGAGATGAAATATAACCCACAGAGAGATCTGGAATCGGAATAGTCCTTTTATATACACAAACACATCAAATATTGAGGTGACTTAAAAATTAGAGTGCCGACGTTTTCTTATGGAATTAGAGTTCGGTCGTTACTTATACCCTTCATGGGAAGAATGTGGCTATTTTCACTCAGACTGTAGAAGAAGGCTAAATTAGTCAAATAACTCAAGAGCAATCAGGCTCACGTTAGTGATTAAAAAGCATTCCAGCAATCTTTCAATTACTAGTCGCTTACCTTCACCAGCCTAGATATATTAACCTAATTTACTATCATACCAGGCACATAGTGCTCTAGAAACAAGTGATACTTAGTTTAAGATTTTTAAAATAATTATGTAACTACATAAGACAAGGGCCACGCAACAGATCGTTCATCGAGAAAATCAAGAGATATTTATAGATTTTTATGTACATTATTATTCGTTACTGTTAGCAGAGAAGTAACGTCTTCTGATTGCTTGTCTTCCTGGTGAAGGTTATTCTATCATCTCTTTGTGGCCGTTTCTTAGACAGTCCGGTGATATATCTGCGAATCATATCCGCCCAAGCTAAGTCTGCTGTGATTGGTTGTTGAGTTCCTCAAGGTTAGGCTTCGTTCTTGTTTTTCCTAATGACCCTGATTTGGGACGTACACACTGACGTAAATTGTTGTCAACAATTTTGTCTTGCAGACAGCTCTCACCTCAATTAGTATTGTGTGTTGCAACAACTTCCATGATGGGCTAAAGTCATTCTACTGACAATGAGGGCAGCCAGGTAACATATCCGTTTAATCTCGAACTCTCACGATGTTGGAGATGAATATTTCTAAAACTCCACAGTTTATTAGAGAAGATACAGCACTCAAAACTATTACCCAGCTAGCAGAATGGCACCCACCGGGTTTTATTTCCAGAGTAGTTATATACCACCACTTCATCAACATAATGCATTCCACTCCACCAATCTTTTTTATCTGTCTCTAATAAGTGGTATCAAATTACCATATCAGTCTGATTTTTCCTGTAGTCATAGTTCCCCTAAATGTCTTGCGACGATTCCTTTAATAGTTCTCTCGCTTTTACTATCCTTGCTATTAATGTGTGTTGACTTACGCTTATATCAGTTGGGCTCGATAAGCATCCTCACTTTTGTCACTATGCTTTTTGAGTGTTAGGCTTGGCAAATTGTTCTTAAACTTCCTCTGGATTGTATGGTACAGGAAAGGTTTCCCCCTGTTATCATCAGTCGGTGCAAAATACGAGTCGGCATAAGTTGAAAAATCTCGGCAACTTTCGGATTGCGCCCTGGTAAAATACTTTGCCGAAAGTTTTACTAAAAAGTGTGTAACTGTGGGTTTTAGCACAATGTCGTTGGACCTGTTAAACCATTGATAACTGGTTGGTATTTAGGGAGTGAAATTCAGATCAATATTTTGAGACACTGCCTATTGAGATAGGGGAAAGTGTATCTCCAAACCACCTCTCTTTTGCCTTGGACAGAAAACTCTGATTGGACGATTTTCAGCCAAACACCAGAAATCAGAACAAGTGGTTAAATCGTGAACCTAACGTAATTTAGTGTGAAAATGTGTATGCATGATGTGCTCTGATCGTCAAAGTCCTTTTTGTTGCCTTAAGCCACCCTTTTTTCAGCTAATGTCACACATCAGAGAGGCAAAGGCTATGGAAAGGAAGCAGTAGCTACATGTGCTCATTTGAATTGTATCTGAGCTTTTATTCCTGCCGTGACTATTTTTTATTTCACCTCCCTCTGTATACTTACATCGAGAAAATTTGGAACATAAATGCATTTTATGCTCTTTGAAGCACCAGTTATACTAAAGCTGTAGGTTCACCTTATCTGAGTCAACAAACGAGGTCTTATTGTCAAGTAAATCTGTTAGACAGCAGACATACTTTCCAACAGTCTGCCTGCTTTTTGTGGATTATACGTGACGAAGCACTCATATATGTGTTACTGAATTCGTAGTAAAAGTGCCTTATGTCGATGGCTTTTTTCCACTATTTCCATTTATTTCCAAGCCACATCCTCTAAATTCATTTTGAGTGCTTCTTCTACAGACATAGGAAGCATATGTTTAATAAACTTCGTGACACTGAACTAATGGCATCTGAAATAAGAGTGAACTACGAACTCATAATTCGGTATGTTATATGCATACAAAATCAACCTTGATTACCTCATCCGATTCAGCCGTAGACTTAAATGAACCATTTTAGCCTTTTCTTCTCACTATTGGAATCAGATTATAGTTTCCGGGGACATTCGCGGCTTTATCATATTCACTTACACGAGAGGTATCCATTATGTGATCCGGTCTGCCAGCTTCTTTCAGATTTTACTGGTTCGCGATATACAGAGTCATCATCAGCCGATGTCAGGTACGTACGTGAAGGGATGCGAACGTTCACGCAAAGTAGCGTGGCGGGGTTGCTCTGTACATCAACAACTCCCTACATGTTCGTTCCGTGAAATCTGAAGCGCATGACAGTGGGACAAGTGAGGTAATTAGCTGTGAAGTAAGCTTTGCAACTGGCACTCTACTCATTGGAGTTCTATATAGAAGTCCCTATTGTCAGTGTGATGACTTTATTTTAGATCACCTCAAACAATGGAGTAAACACAGTAGCTGTCTTATTCTAGGTGATTTTAATGCACCTCATATAGACTGGGTAGCTGTCACATCTCCAGGATCCGCTAATAAGTTTGACAGCCGCTTACTCTTGACTACCATGGAAAATGCCCTGACACAACATGTCTTAGGTAGTACAAGATTTGGTTCAACCCAAGGATCTTCCTTGCTGGACTTAGTGCTTACTCATGACAACGATGACGTGTATGGTCTAGTTATTCATCCACCTCTAGCAAACAGTGATCATGGGGTGTTAGATTTTAACTTAAGGGCTGGCAATTTAGTCAGTTTTCAACCCAAATCCCGACCTAGTGTTTGGCATGCTGACATAGTCGCTATAAAGGAGCGTGCTTCAACTGCCAACTGGTCAGTCAATGTGGTCTCATCCATTGAAGATGAATGGGATAGATTTAAGAATACACTTGAGAGGGTTACCACCGATTTGATTTCCTGGAGGGTTCCTAAAAGACCAACAAATCGGCCACCATGGATAAATAGACAAGCTATAGCACTCCTAAGACGGAGAAAAAGGTTCTGGAATCTCTTTGTTTCTACTGGGCTTCAGCAGTTCCGGCTGAGATACTGTGAAACCAGAAACCAGTGTAAAACTTTGATTCACCAGTCAAGGATAGCTTACGAAACCCAGTTAGTCTTTTGGCAAGAGAAAGTTGGGCAAGCTCAGCTGATGCTAATTTACCGGTGGATGCCATATTCATCGACCTCAGCAAGGCGTTTGACAGGGTTTCTCATTCAGGTCTTCTAGTAAAGTCAGGTAGTTTGGGAATCAATGAAGTGGTTGCCGACTGGATTCAAGACTTTCTAAAGGACAGAAGACAAAGAGTACGAGTTAACGGGGTTTTATCAACATGGGAATCGGTTAAGAATGGCGTTCCTCAAGGTACAATTCTAGGCCCACTTCTTTTCCTGATTTATGTTAATGAGATTCCATCGGTAGTTAAGTCATCCTGCTTACTGTTTGCTGATGACATCAAGATATGGAGGACTTTACACGATGACAGTGACCAACTTGCTTTGCAGGAAGATTTAACCTTGTTAAGTGATTGTTGTAAGCACTGGGCCTTGGAGATTAACTTAAGCAAAAGTGTAGTTATGCATGTATCTATCTCATAGTCACGTGCACAATTACTCAATGAATGACATTACTCTCCCAGTGGTCACTGAGTACAAGGACTTGGGAGTGGTTGTGCAGCATGACTTGAAAACAGCAACAAACTGTGGAGCTGCAGACACTGAGGGTTTTCGAATATTATGGGCCATACGCTAGGCTTTTGCGAATTTTGACGCTGAAATATTTCGTATATTATATCCGACTTATATCAGACCTCATTTGGAATATGGGATCCAGGCAGCGAGCCCGTGTTTCAAATACGAAATAGACTTATTAGATAGGGTGCAAAGAGTAAAAGCTAAGCTGATAAAGGGTTTCTCAACCCTCTCATATGAGGAGAGGTTAAGTCGACTGGGTTTATTTCCACTGTCATACATACGACTTAGGGGTGACCTAATACTAGCATACCGTATCCTAAGAAATGATTTTGGAACTAATTTATCTAATTTATTTCTTCCTTCTAGCACCAACCAATTCCGAGGGCATCACCTCAAGGTTCAAAAACCACGGTCGAATCGCCTGCGTCTGGAGATCCGTTTATCGCATCGAATTGTGAACCATTGGAACTCCCTACCGGAACACGTCGTATCGGCGCCATCCGTTGATTCATTCAAGGCGAGATTGGACCTCCTGTGTGTAACAAATCGAAAGGATTAACACAGGCATATAGCCTACTATCCTAAATAAATTGTAAACTGTAAACTGGATTGATTGAAGTTCCAGTAAGACGTGTTCTTCGGTGGGCTGCACCGTAGGACATACCAAAAAAGGTACTCTGATATATACTTGCATCCAAATCTCCCTAAAAATGTATTTGATGTTGTCCAGACTAATAACTGTGTGTTTAACACTTTGAAGGACAGTCGTTGCTGGGCTGCAGTAAAGAGCGGGGTTTTGTGAGCTCGACAATATGGAACCAATATCACAACAACGACTTGACGAGCTGAAGGCTAAACTTTCATTGCTTGGTAATGTAACACAAGTGTTTTTTTTATTTACAGAGGGTGATAGGAAGGCTTATTTTGAGAGTGCATTAAATGCACTTGCTGAAAACAAAAAACGAGTATCTGATCTTCGTCTTGAAAATACAAAGTTGAGAAATGTCCTCCGCGAAAGGCTTTCGGTAAAATTAATTGAATTTAATCTCATATTTTAGGCTGATCAACATATCATCAACCACGTACTTCATAATCGACAAGCTGACAGGGTTTGCATGGCAAATAAAACAGGAGCTGTGAGTGGTTTAAAAAAATATATGATGAAATTGATAACCCTAGGTCGCTATTGAACTTATGGACTACCGCACATGTGACGCAATGAAAAAATTGAATGCTTTGAAACATATTACTGTTCAGAAAGAAAAAAAGATAGAGGAATTAAAGTCTCAGTACCAGAATCTAACACAGTTGATTGAGGACGGTAATGCTACTTTTGCAGGGACGAACAAAGAGGGGAAAATGCTCCGTGACTTGGAAAATCGTCTTGATAAGGCTCAACTCAAACATCATGAAGCAGAACATATTAGAAAAACTTACGAACAGATAAGAGAAAGGCTTCAAGACGTAGGTTGAGACTTATAGAATGATTTATTATTAAGGAGCACCTTACGTACGAACACAGTCTTGACTCTTTGGAAAAACAAATTAAAGCAACTCAACAGGAAGTTTCGGAACTACAGCAAATGTATAATGATGCTATATTAGCACGAGATGCTGCTCAGCGAGAGTTAAAATTCCAAGAGGAACACATTGCAAGTGAACGTCGACGTCGTGAAGTAGAACTTGCAAGTATGAAGCGAATAGCTGAAGGCAAGAGAGTTAACGTTGATAAAAGTGAAATACAAGTAAGAGCAGTTCATCTTTTGTCTGCCAGCAATGTATTATTAACACTGTATTTATGCAAGTGTGCACAGTACGATGATGTGTGAGAAGTGAAGTTATTGGCGTAACAGATTTCCAGTGACTTCACCACGAATAACCTAGTAGTTACTCAAGATCTATGTTTTGTCAAGTATTCGAACTCAAATGAATTATAGCGCTGTCTTTTAAAATCAATCCATTATTTCTATTAGTCATCCTATGAAGGCATTTAAACACTCACGTGAATGTTTCATACTTTAGTTGATCCGCCACTCTGTGAGGTGACCACGGTTTCAGTCTTGAAAAGTCAATTTTCTTTCTTTCTCGAATTTGGTGTGCTGATGGTTTATTCAATTATAAAATAATAATAACTCCGTTAAAAGGTCTATAATATGGTAGAGAAGAAAGTAAATTCCCAGAATTCTGAAAAGCTGCCGAGTTATTAGTTTGACTTGAGTGGAATGTTTTTTCGCTTTTAGTGAATACTGATCATATTTATTGGCTGAAGTCTCTTAAGAATTTCGTCCGACTCATCAGAATTTGTGTTCTTTAAGAGACATCATACAAATAAAGCTGGTTTTAGAGTAGTCATAGAAATTCAAAACAGGAAGCCTCCAGAAATTTCTCTTTGTAAGAAACATCTTCTGTTGAGTTAGTTACATGCTAGGAACTCATATAATAATATCTAACAATAGCTTCCTGTAATTACCTTCAAACTGGTACATGTTTTTCGTCAGAGTTAGAAGATAATAATCAATATTTATTACTGAACGATTTGATACCACCAATGTTGCCATGGAAATATTCCTTGCCCAAAAGGCGTATTATGTCCATCTCTTGTTTCGTAAATCTTTTTATCAGTGAAAAATTCCAAATTGAAAAATTTGGTGTACAAATGTGGTTTAATTGTCGGTAACAAATGGTGTTCTACAACATCTTCTTGAGTACTGAAGGACTTTTAACAAGTTGGTTTTGTTTCAGGCATATATGAGCCTTAAACTACTGAAGAGCAGATGATCGTCACTTTACAGCACATTAATTTCAGAAGTTAAAATCTGTATAAAGATTGAGCATTGTGGAAGAGTTCAAATAAAGTATAATTACATTTCAATGGTTTACACACAATGATAAGTTTTTGTTTTTTGGTAATATTTCTAGGAAAATTACTGCCCATGATCATATCAACTGCTGGAATTGTTTTGCTTTTCATTAATATAATTATACTCTATTTAATTTTAAGAGGTTATTTTTAAAGCATTTGAATGAGATTAAACACGAGGTACTTGTATGCAACAAAATGTATCACCAACGGCTAATCAATTATTTAATCTAAAAGAAGACATAAAACGTCGATGTTTTGCTAAAATACTCATAAAACTAGCTGCTTTTAGTATTCATTTTTATCACATCAGTTATTGCAACAGTGGAATTATAGTGATCACACGGACTTATTTAAAACGTAGTATTCTAAACTTTATTTTGACAAAGTTCATGTATACTCATTTAGTGTGAGTAAATGTGACGTCTCCCCTTGAACCCGGTTTTCAACCTTTTTGATAAAATAAGTTTACTTTAGTTGGATTTCATATTTCCGTTATAAAGACTTATTTTAGCAAACATCCTGTGAAAAGTTTATTCCCGTCAATAATAAGTGAAAATTTCGCTCTATCAGACAAAGATATAGTGGCTGTGATAATTTTTGCGACGTTTTTGTAAAAACTTACAAAATATTACCAATTTCATTGAATAGGAATACTTCTAAAACACAAGGACTAATTTAGACTTTTTATTAACGGCCTCTCTTCATTTACTATAAAGAAAATAAATATAGTTAACTCGTATTTATTTATTTTCAACCGTTAATCAGCCTTTCACTAATGTGAAATGACAAATAAATGTAACCAGCTAGTAGTTTTACTATTATCATCCCTTGAAACTGCAGTCAACAATAGAGATAGACATAATCAAAGGCGTAGAAAATATCTAGTTCTTAGAAAAGTAGTCGTGTATTCATGAAAGATCGCTTGGACGCTCTCAAGCTCTTTCACTACTTAAAAAGGCTCTCTGATAGAAACCGAATTTTTAATAATCTTGTACAGTCTTTTTTAAAATTGAAGGACTAAAGCGTTACCACAAAGGAGAATAGATGAAAGGAAAGCCCAATTCTGTTTAAGGTATGCAGCTAAAAAAGAACTCTAAAATTAAACGGTTAATCCAGATCAGGTTTATCGGGAGTTTCAAAGAAAATTAACTCTACTGTAAGTACTAATACTAATAAATTATACACAGTTAAATTTTATGATATTTTTAAAGATATCAGTATGTTTGGAAACAAACAAACAGAACAGAATGGACCATTTACTTTTGCAAAAGGCTAAACATTTAAATAAACATTAGTTTCTCCAGATAGCTGGCTACATTTTGGTCGATTTCTGGGGACCAAAAGTAGTACTCGTTCTATTAACGTTATCGGACCGCTGATTTGAAAAGCTATTGTTGAATTTTATTCTGTCTCTTTGACTTATGAATGGTAGTTTTTTCATACATAATACCTAAGTGTCAGCTAGAATGTTTAGAGAAACCAACTCATTATACAGGAAACACTAGTTTGTAATGCTTATGAAGAGCAACATGGTAGATATTACCTTGAATCACACAAAGAAGTACATCACTTTGTAACAACAGAAGGCAAGACACGGAAGCCAAGGTATATTTTTCATTAATCAAACCGCTGTTTATATATATCTACTGTTAACCAATCACTGAGCATATGATTTCGGTTTACATGAAACGACAAGAAATAGAATGTTCAAATATGCATAGTATTCTGTTGTCAATGTAGTACTGAACTGTGGAAAAGTATTCTATCTCTAAAATCAAATAGAGTGGTCAAATAGATATATCGTATTCTGTTGTTAATGCCGAATCAAACTGTGGGAATATGTGACAATAAATTTCCGTTATCACACACATTATCTGTATCACACCACCACAACTTGATTTCGGGACACCTTAAAACATAAAATTTTAGAGGTGTCTGTAGATAAATACAAATATGTTTTTAGAGTGCTAACATGATGGACTACACATCATGAAGCTAAACAAAGTGTACATAGTAATTTTAGCTAAACAGTTTAGGATAATTTTGTGCTGTTGTTTAAGGCATATAAAAGTGCAACACATATATCTAACATTTGAAGATATATCATACTTCAAAAGTCAAATATCCAAATGAGTTAGAAGGCTAAATACCCATTACATTAGAGAAAATTTTATGCCTTGTATTTATACAGTCAGTCACAAAACTGTACTTGAGGTATATTATATTATTATTGTTTCCTTTAATTCCTAGAGGAACATAGGGATTCAGCCACACGTCTCCATTGAGTTCGGTTCCCTGCTGGAGTTTTCACCTGGTTCCAAGTCTGCCCACATACTTTCATCTCCTCTTCACATGATCTCCTCCATGTCACCCTTGCACTGAATACCAACTCGCCGCTTCCCGTTCGGGTTCCACTCGAGCGATGGCCTGGCGTGTGATGTCACTTGATGGTTTGTTTTCCCAAACTATGGCCAATCCACCTCCATTTCTCCCTGCAGATTTGTTGCACAATAGGTTCCTGGTTGGTTCGCTCCCAGAGATCTCTGTTGCTTATCTTTTCTGGCCATCTGATCTTGAGTATTGAGCGAAGGTAGCTGTCAAGGAAGGTCTGTAGTTTGTTTGAGATGCTCTTTATGACGCGCCCAGTCTCTGATACGTATAGTAGCACTGACTTCACATCGGAGTTGAAAATCCGAATCTTATTTTCAAATTCATGCTGAGTGCTGCTGACCTCCACACAGACTTGAGAGTAATGAAAGCTTATCTTGCTTTCCCGATCCTTGCTTTAATATCCTTATCAGTTCCTCCTGTATTTGAAACGATGCTTCCCAGTTAGGTGGGTAGGTAAAGGAGGTTGTTTCTTTCAGGCTCCTTCCATTCATGCTGATTGTTTTCTGCTGTTGTTGTTGTTGCTGATGGTGTTGCCCAGGAATCTTCGTCACCTTTGTTTTCCCTATGTTCACCTGAAGTCCTATCTTTGATGCTTCTTCTGCCAAACTGTTGCTTTTCGCTTGCATATCTTCCAGTTTGTGTGAGGAATATGCGGCCCACGTATGGACATAGAAGCCATCTTCTATTTTAGTATGAAGTTAGTTTCTAACAGATGACTTAGGTGTTGAGTCACTCTCAGATGCAAGGGGAATTTGTTTGTCGAATGGATTTTCATAATGAGCGGATGATGTTGATGATATGTATCATTAGTGTGGATGAAATGTTACTCATGAAAAAGAAGTATTCGACAATAACGTTTTTTTAAAGACTAAATAACGCACTTAATATCCATCATACTTGTTTTACAGCAGTTTATAAAGCTCTCCGCCCACCACAAAGTATCAGAACCCGTGAAGGAATTTCAAACTACTAGATACAACAGCTCAGAAGTCTGAACATTCTTCCAGTTTTAATTATCATTTGCGTCCAATACAACTTCCTTAGTTACTTTCCAGATATCTTCGTACATTTGATTTCGATTTGTAGATGACATAAAAGCGTTAATTCTTGAGTTTTTTAATATTCAGTCAGCTTACGTTTGGCTAATATTCTGTGTTAACTCAATCGTCCCAAAAACCAAAACCTAGAATTTCTTTGAATGTTAAGTTTTTCGTTCAAAAGGTTGTTGCTTTGTAATCACTATAGTAAATAAACTACTTTTTTACAACATTCAGCCTGGTAGGGAATCACTTTCCACTGAAGATGTTCAAAGTGGAAGTGTTCGAGGGACTGGTACAGGTGTTGGAGACAAAACTGCAGGTTTAGCTGGAATCGGTATAACAGAAGACCAACAAATGAAAATAGCCAGCTATGAAGAATCATTTAAAAGTATTAAAGAAGTAACAGGATTATCTGATCTTGATCAGATTGTTAAAAGATTTGAAAGTCAAGGAGAAACTTTAAGACATTTGAATGAATTGAAAGAAAAAGCTGAACAACAATGTCAAGAACTTCGAAAACGACGGGATGAATTACAGCAAGAATTTGAAGAAATCAAATATTCTGGTGAAACAGAATTAAAAAGGTGAAATAACAGTCAGATAGTCCTACATTTTTATTGTTATTCATGTTTATATTATTTCTCTCAAGAATAAATCGTAATATGCCTTTATTATTTGTGTGGAAATTAAAACAAGAGATACTGAGTGGCAGTTTCGTGTACTCTGTATACTATTTATGTAGTATCACACAGGTGTAGCTTTCAAATTACAACGTGAAGAACACTCTGGCTTTTAAGATGTCTCATAACTGATACATTTTAACAAGTACAAGAACTTGACTTCTGTTTGTTATTTTACGGTATTCATGTTAAAGACTTCTACAGGATGCATCTCTAGTTGGATTTTGCCATAGTCATTCACTAGTGTGGTGAAAGTGTTCTTCGACCTGGTGTTATTTGAAAAATACCTTTTAATTATATCTAAGTCAAAGAGTTTTCAGAGCTAATGAGGATTGTGGTATTTTTCCTCTTGAGAATTCATATCAACCTATTACATCTTCTTGATTATTGGAGTAAGATTCCTCTTCTCTGAATTAGGCGGATTTCACATGCTTATGCATCTCTACTCAGAATAGTTGACATTTTGTCTAAATAAGAAGTCATCACTTGTTTTCTTTTAAAAGAATATATATTTTTCTTTTTCAGACATTTCGAAATGAAACTAGTAAAGTTTGAACAACTTGATGAATTTTATTGTTTTATTTCTCTACGTTCCGAGTAGAATACAGGGCTTCGAGTTTTATCTATGGATTTTCGGGAGCGTTGGTTTTATTTTTACGGGACTAGGTTGATAGCCTCACACTCAACTTTTTGTGTTTACTGGTGTTACTACCGCATTAACGAGGCTTAGGAGTGCACCTGTCAGGGGTCAAATCCCGGATCATATGCTTGGTTGGGGAGTATCCTACCGCTAACCATCGACGCAGCAAATTGGTGAATAATAACACTCGATCAGTCATCAAGGAGACGGAATAAATTATTGTATCTACTGAGAAAATAAAGGCATCACAATATATACTACTGACTGGTTGATTTGAGTATTATGTGCTAAGAGGTATCCAGCTGCTGAAATCAATCAGTCAGTAGTATACATTGCGATGCATTCATCTTTGCTTACTTGATTGTAATTTGTGCTATCAAGAAGATCACATATTGTGATCTGAATAATTTTTTACAGGATTTTCATCATGAGCCGATATTAGTTAGAGAACCATTGGAAAACCTGGGAGTACTCGAAAGCTGTTTCGTCCTATTCTGGGACTTTTCATCAGTACGCACCCACCGCCAGAGTTTGAACACAGGACCTTCTGGTTACAAGGCGAGTTCGTATACTATTAAGCCACTGGGACCCAATCCAATGGCCCATGAATTCTAACTTCTGCCAATTCACGACATAGCGCGATGGCTAGCCAATGTTTTCAGAGAGTATTTGTCCTCACACCCAACCTGCCCCACCCTACTGGTCTCGACTTCTCACTAGAACCCCAGGTAACTAGGGGTTGCTCTTTGTCGTGAATTGGCAGAAGTTAGAATTCATGGGCCATTGGATTGGGTCCCAGTGGCTTACTAGTATACGAGCTCGCCTTGTAACCAGAAGGTCCTGGGTTCGAACTCTGGCGGTGGGTGCGTACTGATGAAAAGTCCCAGAATAGGACGAAACAGCTTTCGAGTACTCCCAGGTTTTGCAATGGTTCTCTAACTAATGTCAGCTCATGATGAAAATCCTGTAGGCAATCAAATCCCTACAAACCAACACTTGAATAATTTTTGTTACTAAAGGAAACTAGGGTAAAATTCCACAAAGTCAAACTGTGTAAAGTGCAGATTTTAGAAGAAGAAATCAGTATATTCCCCAACTGACAAGAATGTCTTTGCATACCATTTAAGACTCTCAGATTGATGGGAAAAATAAAACTTTTAGTGTGATCGGCCACTAGATAGTAACCATTGTCATGCGTCTAGTCCCTGGTGTTGGTGCAGACTGGATTCTCTCAGTCCGACTAGATGGCTCACCATCACGGTACACTTTGAATTGCTGTTTTTGGATGGTTGCAGACAATCGGTTGGACTGGCCACTATGTAGCAAATAATGTCAGAGTATTGAAGTATCCATTATAGTCCTATAGGAAGTAACAACTCTGACTACAGCACTGTGTTACCCGAGTTCGAATCTTAGAAGCGACATGAGTTCTTTCAAGACTGCAGATACTACGCGGTGACCGATAAGCGGAAACAAATACTACACCTAGGTAGTCCAAAGTCCCTTGTCGACTGTATCCAAACATCTAACAATAAGAAAACTTTCACCAGAATATCAAATCCTGAAGTAGAGACGTTCTTCACTACTCCACAGTTGTTGTTCTTATTATTATTATTGTGCCGTTGAATATCCTGATCTATGTAACAATGCAGAAAGCTTGATATACTACTAACGAAAAGAAAGACAATTCTATGTATAAGAGAGTGATACTGTAACGACAGAAGGCAAGAGTCAGGCAACAGATCATTTATTAAGGAAATCAACGCATATTTATATATTTGCATGTACATTACTATGAATATTTAAGTAAACAAACACAGTCTTCCCATTGGTTGTTTCTCACGTAAAGTTAATTTTTCATCTATTTGTGACTGTTTCTTGAATGTCAAATCCTCTATATGTTAACTGCATCCGCCTACGCAAAGTCTGCTGTGGTCGGTTTTGAATCAATCCTTGTTCACATTTTCTCACGACAAATCTTGGGAATGTAAATATTGACGTAAATTACTGTCTACCAATTTGGCTAGTAGACAGCTCTCACCACAATACAAGTTGTGTCAGTTTCTGTATTTTTTAATGTTTAATATTTCTTAGAAAACACTTTTATTCAATTATTTATTTATTTATTTTACAGTGTTAATAATATGCTTGAACAATATCGAAATGAAGCACAAGCAGAAGCTGAACGTCGTGAAAAATGTCGTCAAAATGCAGAAGATGCTAATCGTTTGTTAATTGAGTGTAAAGCAGGCGTTGATCATATCTATGATAAATTATCTTTTCTAAGTGTGAATACACTAAAAAGTGTCCATGAAAATGATGATATTGACAGTAATGATATACCAGAGATGCTTAAGGTGTGTAATGAAAAATTGGATGAACTTATGGATAGTCTTAGTGAAGTTAATATTGAAGAACAACTTAATTTAATGGAACAAGAAGAAGTAAGTATCACTGAGAGTATTGTTGATTATTTTCTTGAAAATACTCACTTTATAGTGACACTTTTATCTCACCATTTATATGAATAAAGTGGACCCAGAGACATCAGCCGACTTGATGATACCACTACTGGAGAAGGTGTGGAAAGAGGGCAAGGTACCTGCGGATTGGAGGAATGGCTATCTATTCAAACTGCCAAAGAAAGGAGACTTAAGTCAATGCAAGAAATGGCGCGGAATTATGCTCCTGTCTATCCCAAGCAAAATACTAAGCCGCATCATCCTGGAGAGAATCAAACAAGCCAACCTGGATGAAAAAATTCGACCGGAACAGGCTGGATTCAGGAGGAACAATTCATGCGCCGATCAAATCGCAACACTACGGATCATCACTGAACAGAGCTTGGAATGGCAGTCACCTCTCTATCTCAACTTCATCGACTTTGAAATGGCCTTCAGCAAACAGCGTCGATCAAGAGGTGCTTTGGCAACTACTTCGCTACTACCAAGGGGTGCCCCTAGCAATTATACATCTCATCCAACAGCTGTACGACAATGCTGCGTGCCAAGTTACCCACAATAGGAAACTCACGGAATCATTCGAAGTGAAGATGTGAGTAAGACAAGCTGGCCGCAAACTATCTCCAGTGATTTTCATGATTGCGGTAGACTGGATAATGAGACAGACAGCGGGCAGCGAGGAAACAGGCATAAAATGGAGCCACAAAAAAACTCGAAGGATCTGGACTTCACCGATGATATATGTCTGATTTCTAACAAACTGGAAGATATGGAAGTGGAAGGCAACAAATTAGCAGAAGAAGCATGAAAGATAGGCCTTCAGGTGGAAATAGAGAAAATAGAGGTGATGGAGATTCCTGGCCAACAGAAACAGCAACAACAACAACAACAGATAACAATTAGCATAAATGGGAGAAATCTGAAGGAAGCAACCTCCTTTACCTACCTACCTGGGAAGCATCGTTTCAACTACAGGCGGAACTGATGAAGATATCAAAGGGACGATCGAGAAAGCAAGTCAAGGTCTCATTGCTCTCAAGTCTGTGTGGAGATCAACATGACTAAGCATGAAAAATGAGACACCGATTTTCAACTCTAATGTGAAGTCAGTGCTACTATACGGATCACAGACTTGGAGGCGAGTCACAAAGGACACTCGGAACAAACTACAGACCTTCACCAACAGCTGTCTTCGCTCAATGCCACTCGAGATCAGATGACCAAAAGGGATCAGTACAGGGAGGGATCTCTGGAATAGAACCAACCAGAAACCAATTGTGCAACAAATATGCAAGAAGAAATGAAGGTGGATTGGCCATAGTTTGAGAAAACAAACTATCAAATGACACCACACCCCAGGCTCTCTCTCGGGTGGAACCCACATGGGAGGCAGCCAGCTGGTCGTCAGTGCAAGGGTAACATGGAGGAGGTCATGTGAAGAGGAGATGTGAAAGCATGTGAGCAGACGTGGAGCCAGGTGAAAACTCTAGCAGAGAACAAGACGCAATGGAGACATGTGGCTGAAGCCCTATGTTCCTTTAGGAATTAAAGGAAACTATAATAAAAATATATGAGTAGAGCATAAATTTAGTAAAGCAGCAAATTGTTCGATTTCACCAAAGATGTGATTACAAACACTGGTATATTATTCATCAAAGTCTTATGCATGAAGGTAGAAGTGAGAAAAATCGCGTTCACATTTAACAAATAATTATTTCAAGTTTGGTGACGGATTAATATCATTTAGAGGATCATTAAAAACCATGGAGTGCTGGCAAGGCCGTTTCGTCCTAGCTTGGGGTTCATAGACTGTATGCATCCACGGGATTTTGAGCCCAGAATGCTCCGGGCCCGTAGATCACTCATCCACTGGGACCCAACTTGACAGCCCATGAATTTTGGCTTCTACCAATTCGTGATTTTTAATGGTCCTCTAACTGATATCAGTTCCTATTCAAACTTGAAGCATATCACATCCCTACAAACAGACTCTTGATAATTAATCTTATGCTCAGTAGTAACTGGCTACAGGATAAAGTTGCCTGGAGTTCTAGTGAGATATCGTGACCAATGGGGTTCACGCGGTCGGGATTGAGGAAAAATGCTTGCCAATGACACTGGCTGGTGCCAGTCACGGTAAAATCATGAATTGATAGGATCTAGTATTCATGGACCATTAAGTCGAGTTCTCGTAGATAAATGGTCCACCAGCTCACCTCGAAACTGGAAGGTTGTGAGTTCGAACTAGGACAAAATAGCTTTCCAGCACCGCATGTTTCTCAGTGATCCTCTAAATGATATCAATCCGTGATCAAACTTAAAACAAACTTTTGAAAATATTTATTGCCACATAAGGGTCAGGCGGTCAAAACAAAACATGGCACCAGTCAATGAAATCTACAACAGTTAGTCTAAGCCACGTAGGAAGGTGTAGACTTCCTGGTTGGGGTCCTCGGGACGGTAAAAACCAATGGTTGGAAACAGTTGGTGACATGGCTCAAAATCATTCTCAATGACAGCGCAGATGCATCCACTCCTTGTGACTTATGATTTCTAATGAAACTATATTGTTCTTTGTTATTACTATTCCTTTGTCTCACACCTCTGTTTACTGTCTATATTATGCATTTCTCCTACTTTCTTCTCTTGCTTTGTGTGCTACATGGAGTGTGGCGACTTGAACTACCGCAATTATGTGCAAAGTTCTATGTCGAAAACAGATAGACAGACAGATTTCCACATAAAAATTAGCACAGACAGGCGATTGAATAAGATAAACTAACACTTGAGACCAAATCTACATTATAAAATGATGTCATTTCACTGAAAACTACCTGAAGTTACAATGTTTATTAAAAAAGAATGAAAATAACATACTTCAGTGTTTGATTGATGATAGAAAATAACGTCATTAAAAGTTAATGGATGCGAAATGTAATCATTACAATTTTTAGTTTAATTCATTACCAATTTATGTGCCTTTCGAAATAGTTGCCGAGGCAATAGGAGAAGACAGAAAACAGAAAAATTTGATTAAAAGTGTTACCATATAAGTTTACATGGGAACTCAAGAACGTATATTTCATAAGATTAAAATTTTCTCAGTGAGATGAAGTCACTAATATCGATGACTAATCAGTGTAATCAAGAGCGAAATACAGTTTTACCAAGACAGTGAAATATTCACCACACTCTCTCTTTGTGTATGCATAAGTTTACTTTGAAATGTTTGATTGCCATGGCTTCAGAAAATCGAAGTAAATTTGTTATTGCGTCGTTGGCACAGCGGTTATGACTCTCACCGACCATGCAAATGGTCGGATTATAAATATAATAATAATAAACGACGTCTCCCTAGGAAATCAATCAAGTCACTGAATCAAATAATAATAAAGCTTGGCGGTATATTGATGGGGAAAACTGTTTATGTACTAATGGAAAGAAAGTTCGTGCTTGACACTATTTTCTTCACATAAAACACCTGGCAGACATGGTATCGTGGAATTTTTATACTTAGACATGCGCGCGTCAAGTTTTTTGAAATGAATTCTTGCTTTATCTGAGGAGGTACAAGCAAGGAATTAGCAGCAAGGAACTCTTGGAGCCAGCGAATCAAGTACCTACTGCTCAACAGATATAACGAAGTAAATGTAGATGAATCAGACACACGCTGAGGAGACCGTCAAATGACATTATACGGTTGGCCCTCGAGTGTAACCCGTATGGGAAACGACAAGCTGGGAGTAAATCCATTTGTACCATGGAAGAGATCGTGTGTGAAGGAGATGAGGGCCTATGCGTATTCGGGGGGCCAATTGAAGGGGACTTCAGAATAGATAGCAGGACAAAATGGAGATTTTCTATTGAAGCTCTATGTCCACTTGAAGCCCAAGGGGATAATCATCATATAATAATGAGGTATAATTCCGATTAAAATTCAACTCATATGATATTCAGTGATTTATATGTTAGACTATGTAGGCCATTAAATGTAAATATCTTGAAGGGGATTTCTCAATTATGAAAAATGATGCTTTGATCTGTCTAGAATTAGTTTTGTCATTTTGAGAAATTGCTATGCCATTCATGAGTTTGGAAGCTTGAAAATATTCAAGAAATTCCACACATGCAGATAGTTTGAATGTTCTATGAAATATAATCAGTTTATTGTGTGATATTCATGACAAATTATACTGTACAGAATCAGTGATAAGTGGTTTTTTTCAGACTTCAGAGTTTCGATTCCGGTGTATGTATTGTAATACGTTTTCTGAAAGGGATCAGCAATATTATTCGAGACTTAAGTAATTCATTTACATTCATATATCAGTGAAGCAGCTTTAAGACCTTTTTGAAATACCCATAATTAAGCTGATAAAATGGTAACTCTAACCAATGGCGATTCAAAACGTGCGACCGTCACAGTGACCTTGATAAATATCTGTTAGCCAATCAAATGAGTCTCTACCAAATATCTGAGTCAGACTGCCATTTTTTCATGAAGTTACATCTCTGCAGAAATGATGGCCGTTGCACTACAGACAAGTGTGAATTTTCTGTTCCCAACGCTGTTACTGTAACTGGTCTTTTAGGGACTCATTTGTAGCATATCATCAGAATTTTCGTTAAAGACAACTTGCACTTTGCGAAGAAAGTACCTACAACATCCATAAGCTAAAAAAAGAAATGGTGGGCCTTCTAGAACTGAATCTCTGCTACTGCAGTCTTGGCACCTGTACACATACTGATCAACAGAGGACGTATATCTCTGTAAATGTATTGCCCTGCCACATCTGCACTTCTTATTCTTTCCTATGAACCTACTATCCAGACAGTACTGAAATACTACATTTGGAGGAAATTTACCACGTAATTCGTGTGTGGCATCTATGATCCTACTTATTTACTGCGGGTTATTCTGATTGGTTGATCACGGTCATTACCTCCATTTAGTTTGGTCCTTCGTTTGGGTAGCTAATGTCTGGAGTTACTCATAAATTAATATTCCAGAGGATTATATTTATCACCTGATAAATTCTCAAAGATATTATTAGGCAAATATCATTTAATTTTAGTGAATAAAATCCATTCACTATATACATGACGTTCATTGGTTTTTATAGATAGTAAAATAAAGAAGATTCGTACCTCAAATAGATGAATTAATGTAGAAGTCAGCGCTGAAGATGTTGTCTAGGAAGACAATGAAAGCTACGTGACTAATCCATCCAGCTATATGTTTGTGTGACAAAGGAAGTAACAACGAACGCCTAAATGTAATATATATTTAATTCCCAATTAACAATGGAATACTTTTAACAAATCTTTTCCGTAAGAGTTAGCCTTTAGATAGCCAAAAGGCAAATACCTGACAGAAAACTAAGTGCAAAGTATAAGTCTCTATAAAAATTACTACCGAATACTTTGGGATTTGGTTTAGTTATATTCAAAAAGTGTGGTAACTTCAATTGGTGCATTGATGTGCAGGTACTACCAAGTATTTTTCTATTCTCCACGTGTTTAATAATCAGGTCTGTTTAGCAACTATTATTAACTTTGTGATAGCGAAGTGATACTAGTTTGTGGATAGTAGTGTAACTTGACCGGAATGTGCCTATGGAACACGACACTACAACCGACTGATTACTTGGAAATATCTCTCACACTGAAATAGACACAATAGTCAGATTTAACTATGACAACAATGGTAACAGCGACAATGTTTCATGGTTCAAAATATTGGGTATTTTAAATTAAAAAACCTCGAAAATTCAAACCATAAATAAACAAAGGAATCTGATTGGCTGTATGACTTTGCAATTCCTCAGAAATTTAAGCGAAAATTGAGCCAATCAGAAACCTTCCAATCAAGTTATCATATCAGTACATGCATTAATCATGAATTCACTGCTAACAACGATAGACTGTCCATCCTAACACTTTCCGTATATGATAAACTTACTAAAACTAGATGTTTTAAATGTCTGTTTTTTTAAAAAAATTGGGTTTTTCTATTGAACTTTCTTTTTCAAAATATCATATTACAGTAATTCTATAAAACAAATCATTCTATGTCATTCAGAGTGAATGTTTGTTTACTCCGGCTGAAGTAAGTTCAGTAAAACAATATGAAGACGTTCTAGTTTTTGTTTGTGTTAGTTTCCTTTTGTTTCGTTTATGTGTTATGTAATAAGCTTAAATCTGACAGAATAATTTCATGCTTTATTTTACTTTATTTTGATTTTTAAGTTCTTTACAAAACTTGAAGATCGACTGCCACAAAACAATATGAGAATAAAATTCCCTCTTGTGAAAGGTGAAAGTGTCGATGGTAAGAAGTGTTTATGTGGCGAGTTTTTTAAATCTTTGAAGAAGTTATTTTTCGATTATTTTTCTTGACGGTGATGACTTGTAATGGAATAATCTATAAGGCTACTCACATTTCCTAATTCAAATTCATTACTATTATTATTCACTTGGGTTCCTAGTGGAACATACGGCTTCAACAGAACACTTCGATTTCATGTTATTCGCTACAATCCTATTTAGCTGGCTCCACGGTCACCCATAACCTTTCATCTCTTGTTTACACGATCTCCTACACATCACACTTGAACCAATGCCCAACTCGTTGTTTCCAATTGGGGTTCCACTTCAGAGATCCCCTTCCACGAGATGTTATTAAAGAATGAGACTGAAAAGGACACCATCGCTGCAGAGAAAAACTGGAGACACGACGGGGAATTACTGAGGAAACCTGCGTGGAACAACATTGGAACTCTCTGAAAGTGACATCGAAGGAAACCAGTACAACTGTCCTAGGAAGGAAGAAGAGACAAGAAAAGGAATTAGCTTTCTACAGACACTTGGAAGCCAATAGAGGAGACAGGGATGGTGAAACAGAAGATGAACTAATGCAATGACGGACAACGGAAGAAAAACCGGAGTTCAGTCTACAACGCACTAGATAAGGAAGTGAAGATGAGTGCAAGGAAAGAAAAAGGACAGCTCTACGACACACTGGTAACTGAAATGGAACAGGTTGTAGGTAAAAGAGACCCCAGAACATTATATCATACACCTAGGTCTCTAATCTGGAAAAGATCAGCACTGATGAAACCTATGAAAGATATTGAAAGGGATCTAATCTCAGTTCACTATATGGCTTCATTTGCATTCTGATGAGAAAAAAATTACCACCCTTCTTAACACTAAACGTTATGCCTCGGGTTACTGAGCTATAACAACTTCTTTTTGTGCAGTCAGTATCACCTTATGCTATTTTTCTGACATTTGAAACTGCCTATCGACTGTATCAGACAGGAGTGTTGGTCGTTTTTGATGCATGAATCATACACACTGCTCAAAGTCTCTCTAATGCTGCCGTTAGGAGGACAAATCGCTTCTTCATCCCATTCACAGACAGCCTTGGGAGCTGTTTTGCAGTATAAATAAGTTTTTTATCATCATATTCTCTAAAGAAGGGTTCTGCATACTTCTCACTTGAACTCAGTGCATTTTAGACGTGTTTATAATGCGCTTTAGATAATTCTGAGTTCGCCGACACCTATTTCGTCCTCCACGTTATGTAATCTATGTTTTCTAGCTCGCTTTCATTTAATAATAATATAATAAAGTTTTATTGTAGACAATATGTGAACATATAGTACAGACATTTTCAGCATATTTAGTCCCAAAACATTTCCTCTCTACACAAGATTTACACATAAAGTAACAATATGAAGTATATTATGTAACGTCGTGTTGTTCCATATGAAGAGAGAACCAAACCTCTAGGTTTTTTCTTCATTTCTTTCAAGATTTGCTCAGCGTTTAGTTTAGAGTTAATTAAATATCCGCGCGAATTGATACAGTGATCATTTAATACAACTGCACGATTTAAACAATAAGAAATGAAGAAGAGTTTAGGCATTTTGATGGATGTAAATTCCGGTAGCCCAGTAATTCAAGCAGGACGCATAATTTTTAGAGGATTAATTCGAAAAGGAGTGAGATGTAGTCAGTATATTTGGAAATGAAGGTAATTTTGTTTATAAGTAATCGTTTACTGATCTGTGGACAAAAGAGACAGGGATGGTGAAACAGAAGATGAACTAATGCAATGACGGACAACGGAAGAAAGGTCTAAGTTCAGTCTACAACGCACTGGATAAGAAAGTGAAGATTAGTGCTAAGAAAGACAAAAGACAGCACTGCGACACACCGGCAACTGAAATAGAACAGGTTATAGGTAAAACACGCTGGGAATAAATTTAAATAATTTATAATGAATCAATCCGTCTCGGTGCTCAAATTATTCCAGGAAGTTCGCAACACCTGCGGTCTGGAAACCTATAAGAATATTTTAAAGCCTAATGAAAATACTTTCCGTCGAAATGGCAAAACAACCAGGCAAAAAAGGTTTTATCCAGTCTCTGTACTAGATTTAGGCAAAATCAAAAATATGCTATTTAAAATATGCAAAACCATTAACGGACGATTTTTCTAAAAGTTTCAGTATAAAACATTCTAGATTCTTATTATATACTACTGACTGATTGAGATGAGTAGTTGTGTACCGCTTATCAACCAACAGTGTGCTTGCTAGACAGATCGAGCCAGTCTAAACACTAGACGGTCATTCCGCTCATTTCAAACCGAGCTCATCAATCGTGTGACCGGTTCGATTCAGCTGAGAGAGCTAAATCGCTTCAAACCACAGAATTTCTGGGTAGCTACTTAGGAAAACTGACAATTCACAATTTGCACATCCTCGAACTGCATTTAGCACTCCTTTCTTGTTCTATTAATGCTCAGTCTCTAAATGTGTAGTTAAGCCATACTAGCCAGATAAGTTCTACAATCTTTCCCCCCCCCCCCCAAATAAGCTGGTCGGGTGTGAGGACAAATACTCACCGAAGACATTGGCTAGCTGTTGTGCTATGTCGTGAGTTTTCAGAAGTTGGAATTTATGGACAAGTAGATCGGGTCCCAGTGTCTTAATGGTGGCGGTGGGTGAGTAATGATGAAGAGCCCCAAACTGGGACGAAACAGCTGGCTGTCCAGTACTCCCTGAAGGTTTTCCAGTTGTTCTCTAACCGATGTCAGCTCATGATGAAATCCTGTAACCAATCTATTTAAATATACTGTTCATCACAGCACATTCCTAAATAACAGAATTCTTTTTATTTGCGTTTTGTTATCCGTACTTAGAAGTCAAGTAGAGTACTGATTTAGTGGATTATCAGGGGAATGTCACATTTAGTAAGACCGGTATAATGCAGCGTACCACTAGCTTAACCAGTACCTTACAAGTTCATGGCTTCCTAACTGGCTTAAAAACATCAACTGGGAATTTTAAGGCATCATAAAAAAAGAGTATAAAATAGAGTGTATAATAAGAAAGATAATCTACTGTTGTAAACTTATTTATAATGATTTTTTTGTATGTTTTAATATAGATGAAGATGGTTTAGCTGATGACAATGATATATTAACAAGAGCAGCATTAAAGAAACAAGCTCAACAAATTGTTGAAATGAGAAATAAAAAGAGACAACCTAAAAAGAAGAAAAGAAAAGCAAGATAATAATTAGAAAAGTTCTACATTGAAAGTACTATCCTTATTCTGTTATGCATAGATATTTCTTAACAAATGAATTTGCGCGCGTATACAGTGACAGCTATAGTAAAACAAGATTTCGATCGATAATTTTAAACAAAAAGAAGGTATTGTGTTCAATGTTTTAGGTATAATTTTTATTTTTGCATTAAATATATCAACCCTTCACATTATCGATAATTGTTAACTTTCATACAGCTCGTGGAAAGAATTAACTATGCCCTAATACATAGGTCAAAGCTTATTTTTTCTGCTGCTATGCAAAAGAATTCATTATTTCTTGTCAAAAATTTTAATTTTACAAATATTTACTTCTGAGTTCACTTTATTTATATCTCTTTTATTTCAAACTACTTATTATTATTATTACTGAACTTTGTTTTATTCGATTCACTTTTAATTTCTTTTTCCCTTAAATATTTATTATCAATAGAAATGTTTCCATTCCTAGTTCACGAACATTTCAAATTCTATGTAAATTAAATTAGTAATATTGATGAATAAAAACAACGGCAGCAAAATGTACTCAATTTTCAATTTGAAAAAGAAATAATAATGCTAATTGCTGTTAAAATGAAAAAATATCTGTTTACGATATTCCTTCAAGTAAAATACTATTTTTAAAAGAAATTCATTTAACTATGACTATGTATTATGTAAACAAACATAATACAACTTATAACACTTATTAAAATACATATTTTTAAAAAATATACAGTAATATTTATGGCAGCAATAGAATTTCTGACGACTTTTTTTATTTCTGTAAGTCTAGCTATAAACAACTTATCATTATTATTCCTTAGGGTACCGAGTGGAATACAGAGCTTCAACAGTACATGGTTATTCCACTCTGTTCTCTGAGGTCTTCTTTAGATGGTTCTACGACTGTGCATTAAGCTCTTATTTCATCTTCACACCACCTCCTTCATTTCACCTTCGGACACTCAACATGTCGTTTCCCATCAGGTTTCTACTCGAGGGATTATCTGGCCCGAGATGTGGCTCAACGGTCTTCTCAGCATATGTCCAGCCCATCTTCATTTTCTTCCACATGTTTTTGAGTGGGAAGTTATTGGTTACTTCTTTGCCTGACGCAGTTCCTTGTTGCTTATCCTTTATGGTCAGCTGGCTGATCTTCTGTATGAAGCGAAGGCAGCTATTGATGACAGTCTGCAGTAGATTGCCAGAAATGCTGCTGATGACGCGTGCTCTAGTCGTAAACTTGATATTAGTGATAAAAATTCAGATCTCATTTCTCATACAGATTTGAGTAGATTTCCGCACTGATTTTCCAATCTTTCCTTTGAAATCCGCATCTATGAAGCCCATCTATGAAGTTTAAATGATAATGATTAGATAAATGAAACAGGTTTATTAGCTAGTCCTTAGGCAGAGGAAGAGGGAAAGTTGGACATGGGGTTAGTGACTCAACCCCGAAAAATCAATTCAAAGGCTACACAAACTTCAAAGAATAGAAAAGATTTCAAAGATATTTTAAAGAAATGCGAAACTTATTGTGATTCTTGCATCAAAGTGGGAGAATTGTCGGTTGAAATTCAGACTTAGACAAGAAAACACCATGAATATCAGTACTATATTACTATCGTTATTATTATTATTCAACCCTTGCGTCCCAAGTGGAGAATAAGAACTCAGCGGTACACCACTAGTAAATCTGATTCTTTTTTATCACTTTCAGAGGTCTCCACGAGTGCCTAGAAGCTTTAATTTCCTCTCCACATAAATACTACGCTATTTTTTGACTAATATTCCCTATCCAACTAGCGTGTGTTGTCCTAAACGGTAGAAAGTCATGAGGCAGTGGTTTAAGTAAGAAATACAGATCCTTCAAATCAGTGCTTCCAAATCCTATGAATATGTTTATACTTTGCAAAAAAAAACACACCAAGTACTTCTTAAAAATGAGCCGAAATATTTGTGACACATGAAATACGCAGTTATTAGTAATGACTATACTAGTCATTCAAGAGATTGCTACAACACAATGACTTTACATCATTGGAAAATAGGCTTCCATACATTCCGTTAAGTGTCACCCACTTTTAGCATGTGAATAGATGTAAGTCACCAAGTTGAGCCCTTGTGAATTACTCGTTCCTTTGCGTCCCTCGTGGGTGTAGCTAGCAGCCACCGACCTCCCCTCTTTTCCAAGCTTATTACCTTCTAGTAAGCTTGGCGAGGCTTAAGAGTGTGTCAGCCAAGAATCGAACTCCCCAACCACATCTATAACTGACAAGCATTTGACTCTTGAACCACCGGTGTCGTTGTGAATACTAACTGGAACTTACCGGATCCGTCAGCAATACCATAGTCACTTTTGTGTACCGAAAGTTGTCTTATTCAGTTGCCGTAAGGTATATTTCCGGATTCGAAAAAGGTTTCTCAATTAGCTTTAGGTTATTAGTCGCTTTCTTGAGAACTGCAGTTTGGTTAACTGCCCTGTTCACTGTCTAATCAAAATCTGCAGTGATGAGCTTTCTCATGAAGTTTTTTTGATTTTCTCTTTGGTCTGCTATAACTTATGTTGTGTTTTTGTGTTTGATGACAGTAGATTGAATATAAAATGAGGTAGTTTGTCGTAGACAAGAAATTAAAATGCTGACGTCAGTTATAAAATCTCCCTTAGGTTATATACAATGAATAAGTAATTCTTCTTGATAATGAGTTCTGTATACAGACATAGGATAAATGACTACACTTCTATACGACATTTTTTGTCTAAACTGGGAAAGAAATTATTGAAAGTTACTGGAACATTGATGACAACTGAAAATCATCAAACATGAGAAAAGTATGAATAATTTATTTAGCGAACTCACCAGTATTCGCCTCACACCTATATTTACAGTAGATAATAAAAGTGACAACACCTCACCTCTCTCTGTTCCACTTATACAAGTAGCTTAAAGAAAACGGTTAAAATGAAGACTGGAAATAGAAGTAGGTATGAGTGTGTTGTTTTTTACTGTGGTAAAAATGTCAGCTCATGGGATGATTAGCCTTTCTGATAGAGGCATTTTCCTAATGACATTATTAAGGTAAAACTTGACACTTTATTTAGTGAATGAAAATGGATAATCAGACAGTCTTGTCTTTAAACATATCAGTGAGTTGGAGTCAGAAATGAAATAGATGGTAATTTTTTGAAAATTATTCCTTTTGAGATTACAATGTAGGGATCATACGTGTGCTGAGACCTTGACATAATTCCCCAAACATGCCGTACAACCATCGATTTTCTACGTTCTACTATCACCTGTGTACTCATTCAAGAAGTGGTATACTTACTGGTTCTGCCTCGTCGTCCTTGTATGGAATTACTACTGATGATTTAGGTTCCTTATTGTTGGTGTCGTCATTAATATTATTATTACCACTATTATTATTATTATTATTATTATTAATGATAATAATACAAGGAAGGAACCTCGGAAGCCTTACGCAGAATTCTTAACAAGGCAGGAATAAAAATGGCATTCAAACCCACAAACTCAATTAGAAAAAAGCTTTGTCGGTTAAAGGATCCTGTGGAGACTTTAAAACAAAACAATTTAGTTTATCTCATACCCTGTAATGATTGTCAGGTCAAATACATAGGTCAAACTAGTAGAACAGGGGCAGTCAGACTAGCAGAACATAAAAACCTAGCAAAATCTAGATTGATTGACCCGAATAAGATAAGAAATCTAGAGAATAGTTCAGCTATAGCACTACATGCAATTACACACAACCATACAATAGAATGGATGGGATAAGATGACAGTTTTAAAATCTGATGTCACAGGGTATAGGGAGAGATTGATAACAGAAGCTTTGTTTATCGAATCAACTGTAAATACGTGTAATAGGAATGATTCAACACCTGTCCCAGGTATCTGGAAAATTCTACCACCCCTACGACAAATAGGAGAGGACGAAGAAAACTGTAAAACTCAAGTTTCGAAGTCGTGCGATTATAATTGATATGCTTATGAACAATAAATTTGGTTCGAAACGTCATCCAGTAAATAATAATACTGTTTCACTGTGTGATACATCTAATAAACAAACTAATATGGAATTACATACTACCACAGTACCCAAGTTTTACACATATAAGACGCACATAACTGTTGATTGATTTGTAAAGAGTGGTAAGGTATCTGAAGCAATTTGTTATATACCCACCGCCGAAAACATCCATCAATGGGAGTCATTGTCAAAAAGCTGAATATTTCATACATTTGGTTTCCTTGATAAATTTCGATAGAGAAAGAAAGACCTGATTTGCAGTATAAAGTGATGCCATCATTCTCTTTCACAGGTTATCATCAGCTGCAAACTACCTGAAATTCAAATGGTTATAAATAATAACATTTCATACTTCAGTGTTTGAAAGGTAATAGAGAAAACATTATACGATGAACGCACTCGGAATATAAATATTACAATTTTTAGTTTAAGTTACCATCAATTTATTTACTATCAAATTATGAAAAAAGGGGGGGTGAGAGAAGACAGGAAACAGAAAATTCTGATAAACAGTGTGAGCTTGTACATCAACATGGCAATTCAGGAAGGTTAAAGTTCATCGTTTTATATGGCAGATCTGGTCTTTGTTTCTCTATCGAAAAAGCTAAATACTTATGCTAAAAGTAGATTTATCTTCTTTGATATTCTGATCACCAGTCTTATCCCATCACCATTCACTAATTTACTTCAAGTTAAATAGTTAGACATCATCGTAGCATCTGCACAGGGAGCCGATATGTTAACCTGAGACCGAGCACTTCGGTCCAATGAGTCAATGGGAAAGTTGAAAATGAATTAAATAGTCTTAAGTATTATTATTATTTCCTTTAGTTCCTAGAGGAACATAGGGCTCCAGCCATGCGTCTCCATTGCGTTCGGTTCTCTGCTAGAGTTTTCACCTGGCCCCAAGTCTGCCCATACGCTTTCAATTCTTCTTCACATGATCTCCTCCAGGTCACCCTTGGACGACCAACTCGTCGCTTACCATTCGGGTTCCACTGGAGCAATGGCTTGTCTAGTGATATCACTTGATGGTTTCCTCAGAGTGTGGCCAATCCATCTCCATTTATTCCTGCCTATTTGTTTCACAATCGGTTCCTGGTTGGTTCGCTCCCAGAGATCTTTGTTGCTGATCCTTTCCGGCCATCTGATCTTGAGTATTGAGCGAAGACATCTGTTAATGAAGGTCTGTAGCTTGTTTGAGGTGCTCTTTGTGACACGCCAAGTCTCTGATCCGTATAGCAGTACTGACTTCACATTGGAGTTGAGAATCCGGATCTTATT